GATAGCTTTGAAGTTGAAGTTCAATCACTAATTGTACTTGATTAATGAATCTTTGAAACTTTAATATTGTACCATCTAACTTCTTAAATAAGATAATTTTTTTTTCTAATGCTTAAACAATGTTCTTTTATAGGAGAGGTATTATGATTTCGTATAGATATTAAAGTAGCTTTAATTATCTCTACATCTTTACTTTTTGCCAATCTTATTTTTTTTTATGGTGATAAATTTACATGATGCATTGTAAGTATTAACTTCCTTATTTGTTCTTGCATTTGTGTCATTGCATTCTTCATTTCAAAAAGCTCTTTATGATAACATAATAAAAAAGAAGATGTCTAATATTACTAAAAATCAATAATAAATAAATAAATAAATAAATAATCTAAGACTAATACTAATTTAAAAATTGATAATCTATAAATTCTAATATACTCATGTCTAATAAAAAAATTAATTTATTCTTTATAAAGTAAGGACAACACTCTAATATTATAATTATATACTTATCAATTTGTCAAAAATAAGAACTTAATGAATTTAAATAAGCAAGTGACATGATTCTCAAAGAAGCATGAAATATATATATTGAAGAAGAAGAGGAAATTGGAATAGATATTGCTACACACTAAGAAACTAGAGACTCTTGAAATTAGACTGGAAGTAAGAAAAGAATTGATAAAAATGAAGAAGGCCTCACTCTTAATTTTACATATACTATCTAATTAAGAGTTATGTGGGAATGTATGTCTAACATGTAGGATACATATGTAATTTACAAGGCAAGTTTTTTATATGTGCACAACATATGTAACTTGCATGACATATGTCTAATTTGAAAATATATATATATATATATATATATATATATATATAGATAACACATGTCCAACTTATGTTATAAGTGGCAAATATATACATTATGTGGCCAACTTGTTGAAAATTTTTTCAACCTACCAATCATCTATAAATATATATAAAGATAAATTTGCATCTATTAAACTTCTAAGAATTTTTTTTACAAGGTATTATCAAATTTACCTACTTCTATTTACATCTAACTACTCATATTATTTTAATAATTACTAGAATATATATATATATATATATATATATATATATATATGTCCATGATACTTTTTTCTTTAAATCTAAAAGATATAAAAAATTATAAGAATATTTAAAAATTACTTGGCATGATTTTTTTAACTATTAATTATTGAATGAGAATGTAGATACAAATGATCATATTGTATATAATCAAATATTTGATAAGCATAAATAAATTTATTAAATATTTATTAATAGAAATAAATTTATAAGTCATATATTTTTATTAAAGACTATTTTTAAATATCATAAAGTTAATGGCCATAATTTAATTATTAAGAGAAAAAAAAACTTTGAAACCTATAAAAAAAAATTGAAATTTTCTTTGATAACAAGATATTTCTTTAAAGAACATAAAATCTATACCTAACTCCAAATCTTTTTATACTAATATTTTTATTCAACTTCTTTTATACATGGTTATCTCTTTTGTATATTTCTAATCTTATTTCATTTATTCTATGTACATATAAACTAAATTTTTAGTTTTTTTTAAATTAATATATATATATATATATATATATATATATATATTTTAAAAATTAGAAATTCTCTAATTAATAATATGATTTCAAAAAAATATATATATCCTAAAGTCTTTTATGACTTTTTTAGGCTTATATATTTAAATAAACTTCTACTTGTTTAACAATGTTTACTTGTAATACACCTCTTTTACTTTATTTATTTATTTAATTAATTATTTTTCTACTGCTACTAAACCACTTTAATATGCTATAAGATCTTGAATAAGTGTTTTTAGCTTACATTCGCAAGAAAGATTTATTATCTTACTAATCTAAACCACTAGATATAATCAGACTTACAAGCATGATTCTATCAAACTCTATTTATCATTCTTGTGTTCAAATTTACATATATGGCAACTTCTCAACATTATTTAGAGCTCATTTAAAAAATAAAAAAAATGTTGCATACACAAGTTGTTGTGAATAGAATAAGCTTTTTCTTAGTGTAAAGATCTATCTTCAAAAGTATGCTTTATTACAATGGTGATGCCAATTTCACACATACAATATTTTTACTAAACCTTCCAATCTTTAACTTCATTCTACTACTTATGAAAAGCTTCTAAAATTAATCTTCTAACTCTTTAACTATAATAATTCTTTAGCTTAGCCATGTATATATATATATATATATATATATATATATATATATATATATATATAAAAATAATTTGGACAAATTTTATTAATATCAACTTTGTTTCTATATCTAACCTTCTACTAATAACATAGATTTTTTCTATAATGCAACTTGTATATAA